AATAATAATAATAATAATAATAATAATATCCGTTAGATGACGAGAATAGCGCGAAAAAGATTTCAGAACAAGATGTAAGAAAAAATGTTCTCATGTGAGGGGAAAAGCGAATGGTGAACGAAGCTGAAATACGATTTAAGTAACTTAATGAATTTGCCAAGGAAAAAATGACCTTCAAAGAAAATCATACATTTTTTTCAGTTTTTGTCTAAAATAAATTAATGACTTATTATTATATATAATTAATCAATTGGTAGCATTTGAAGAGATAGAGATCTGTAAATCGGTGTCCGCGAATAATGTCTGGATGCATGATAAGTTCTGAAAATTGGATCACAATTCGGCGGTCAGGAATTGCGATAGGGTCTGGTGCATTACCCCACATGTTGTCACTGATGTTTCAATTGGAATTTATGAGATGTGATGCACCTGCATGTGGTTTTGGATTTCAACAGTTGCCGGCACTTGTATGTACCGGCAAATGCTGGGAGTCTAAGTACCACTAGTGTCCTTGAACTTATTATTCAACACAACACGAGACCTCTTGCTCCGTTCTAATCTCGAAAAATCGACGAATAAAAGGTTTATTCCATTGATAAATTGGCAAACGGTCCTATCCTATCTGAATTAAAATCCGTTGAAGAAACCACGCAATGGCAACTGCAGGTCAAGTGAGTAGTACTTCCTAAGATTTTCTAACCAAAGTTATGCCTTTGACATGCTATAACAATTGCCATAACTCAATTTTTAATTATTCAATAACGTAAAACAGTTATTATGAAAAACCATTATTGAAGCACAGTTCATTAAAATTTGAAGTTCGTTCGGTGATGAACATTATTAACAATTTTTTTTTCAGTTTTTCCTTTTTTTACTTTCAAGGAATCCCACTGATAATCTATCAATTCACTAATTGCTAAATATTTAATTTATCTCCCTATATTTGTTTAAGGCACAGATTAACTAATTATTGAATATAATTGTTGGTCTGAGTTTTATGTGGTTAGAATAAAATATTGATAAATTTGGGGTTCAAATTGTCTTGCCGGATCCACTGCAATGGTTATGACATTACTAATTGATTAATATATGCATTAATGTCTTTTTCATACTTTTTGATTAATTTCGCCTACTATTCATCAAATAGATAATTAAATGCCGTGCAGCAGTGGCATGGAAGGAGAAGCAGCCTCTCTCGATTGAGGAGATTGAAGTGTCTCCACCAAAAGCCAACGAAGTTCGTATCAAAGTAGTGGCAGTGGCTTTATGTCATACTGATGCTTACACCCTCGGTGGGCTCGATCCGGAAGGGGTTTTCCCTAGCATCCTGGGGCACGAGGGCAGTGGAATCGTCGAGAGTGTTGGGCCAGGCGTGTCAGAGTTTCAACCAGGAGACCACGTTATCCCCCTCTATACTCCTCAGTGCAGAGAGTGCAAATTTTGCAAATCACCGAAGACCAATCTGTGTCAGAAGATTCGAATCACCCAGGGAAAAGGGTTGATGCCCGATGGCACAACGAGATTCACCTGCAAGGGGAAACCCATCTTCCATTTCATGGGGTGCTCTGTTTTCTCAGAGTATACTGTTATTGCTGATATTTCTCTTGCGAAGGTATGATAGAGTTGATAAGCATGCAAATCTAGGGATAATATCTAAATACAAACAAATATTCAAATACATTTTTTCAATAATTGACTCAAAATTTCACTTACTTTTGGTGATTTCTTGATGACTATCTAAATATTGCCAATTGGTAAGAACCATTGTTTAAACTTAATTAGAATTTACAACATTCAACAATGGAAATGCACTGTTGTTGAAATTTCTCTCCTTTGCTGACGATGATTGTGGGATACCTGTGCATAAAACAATCTTGGAATCACTTCTTACGAATTTTCATAAGGTCGATGTCAAAGCTCCCCTAGAGAAGATCTGCCTCCTTGGATGTGGAGTTCCAACGGGTTATGGGGCAGCTCTGAACACCGCCAAAGTCGATCCAGGAAGCACTTGTGCCATCTGGGG